ATACTAAGATATGTGTCCATTCGGTTTCAGTCTTGCATTCGAATATCAACGCAAAAAAGACTTCGGGGGAACAAAGACTGGTCGGTGTAGATGATGTGATCATGAGACATTATAAGCTAAATTAATGGCATACAGTCAAACCCATAAAATGAAGAATAAGGAAACATAGTGAAAACTCTGCGCTTGACGACAAATCGAACTGCGATGAGGAGGAGATTTCTATTGCGTGTTAAGATGGGTCTTGCTGACAGGTCAGTCATTTTTTATAAACTAAGAGAATCTTCCAAAAAGGAAGCAAAAGTTAGAATTCAGCTCGATCTCGATCACATAACGTTTTTAATATGCAAGCTACTCCCGAAAACAGTTTCACGACTTGACATATTTAAACTTTATAGAATCGGACAAAAGGTGAATTCTGAAAGTACTCAGAAAGGCTTTTACATAAACGTTACCTTCGCTTTGCTTAGAGAGAGAAAACTTAATACTGAGAAGCTCATGCAAACTTGTTGGATCCAGCATATACGTCCTTAAATACATCAGCCTGGATGACCGTATTAAGAGACGATCGGCAGAAGTAGAAATATATGAACGCCGCCGAAACGGTGTAATAACCCTCGACTTATAGTTTCCAAACTGTAAAAGTTCTCAGCGAAACGATCCCCAAATCACTCTGGGTGGTAAGGGAAAGTTCTCCTTCCAATTGAAGGTGTGCTACGCAAATGCTCAAAGTCCACTAAATTATTATCGATGGATATAGAAACACCGCATGTCACTGCTGTCTCGAGACACCTTCAACGTCAGAATTATTTGATAGTGAAATTCGGTTGACTGGTTTTTATTCAATAAGGATGATAAATTAAAACGTAGGGGAAGCAGGATTATCCTATACACGAAAGGTATGTAATGATATTGGATCGAAACTGATATCCTCAAAGCTAAATATGAGATAGCTGAGAAAATAGACTTTCAACATTTAACACGAAGAGAAGGTCAATGATGATGGACACGGCGTCATAGATTCGAAGTTGAATTCATCGGATGGCATGGCTCGGCCCTACAGTCTGTCGCCACTTGTTCCTCCTCGCAAATTTTCCTGAACAGATTGTTTACAGCATGTTTGCAAATACTTCAGTTCTTCGGCTGCTATTTTGTCATGCTGTTCTCCCGCTCTTGATTTGTCTGAAGGCCATCCTCATTCCTTCGATCGTTGATGAAATGACATCTATGGAAAGATCTGTATGTGCTACTTCGATGTCCTGTGGATTCAATGGAGCTGGTCTATTCTACCCATCTGTTCATCTGTTCTTGAATTTAAGTGATTGGCCAGCATTCTTTGCCTTAACCGATCTCTCTCCTTTACTGTATCTCCCTGCTAGTTTCTTCGTTGTCATTCCTTCTTGTGCAGCTTTTTTCGCCGTCGTTGCTAGTACTTCCACGTATTTCTCCTTCTCGGCTCTAATGCTCTCCTTCACTTGTTTGTTTGCATCCATGTACTCAGCTTTTACCTTGAATTTCTCTGCTCGTGTTCGGCTGTTTTAATTGCTGTCTTCTTGTTGTTCCTTTCTTTGATCCTGTCAAGCGTTTCTACAGAGATCCATTCCTTATGGTGATGCTTCTTCCGGCCCAGAACCTCCTGACACGTTGAAGTTAGTGCCTCTTTGATACTTTACCAGTTGTCCTCTATAGTAGTTTCTTCTACCTTCAGTAGATCCTGTATGGCTTGGAACCTGTTGTTGAGAGCTATCTTAAATTTGTTGAATTTGTTAGTATCTCGAAGGAAAGTTGAATTGGTAGTATTGTTCCGCCAGTTGTTCTTTAGCTTCAGTTTCATCTTGGCCACCACCAGGTGATGATCTGAAGCTATGTCAGCTCCTCTCCTAGTCCTCACATCTTCCATTGTCCTTCGGAATTTTCATCGATGCAAATATGATCTATCTGGTTCTCTGTGGTGTGGTCCGGTGAGATCCGTGTAGCTTTGTGTATACGTTTATGTGGGAATATTGTGCCGCCTATGACCAATTTGTTGAATGCACATAGATTTGCAAATCTCTCCCCATTTTCCAGATTTTCACTGGTGCTTTAGCACTGTTAAGGAATTCACTAGTTGTTATGTCCCGATAAGCATAATAAATGGTAACTTTTGGGATCCATTTATGGGCCAATACTATGCGTATATTTTTATCGTATAACTGTTTGACAACTAATCCGTTCATACACATGTCCCACTTATTATGAGCTTATTTTGACCAATGAACTGTTATTATACGATTTACCATTCTTGAGTTATGCCCTGTCTGTAATTACTACCTACAACAGTCACAGCTACATTGAACTAAATCTTGTACAAATGCTATTTTCTATTTTATGGTGCGATGTGGTCTGTTTGGCTGTTGTATGTAAACCCAGTATTTTTGAAACACATGATTCATATTGCAGAGGCTGAGATTAATGTTCTGGACTAAACTGGCTGGACTAGGCAGGAAACAAGGCCGATAAGTACTCTAGACTGCTCCCACGGGTTTTATGCGTCATTGATCCGACCGATAATTCACTGCTCCCTATTTGGCGGTATCATTACGTTATATATTAGCAGGGCACTCGAGCTACAAGTTATAATACTAATAAGCATTTAAGACCGTTAAATGTTTGGGAGAAAATGCCCAAGATCACGAAGTGAAGTACTATGCAACTATCATTTGCCATACTAAACAAAGGCAATGCGATGGAATTTGTTTTTATATTGTTTTGTGGATATTGTAGAATTCATGTCAAGAATGGTATTAGACAACATGGAGATAAATTTTATTTTGAACACTACCATATATTTTTTACATTACTTTATGTGCTTCTTTGCTGATTGGCTAAATGCTTTGACAAGTTTCTGAGTTGATTCATACATCTTTTAGGTCTGCTTTTACAATTTCAGTTACCTAACAAGTTGTTCCCATCAGATAATGCCAATGATTAGAGATTGGTAGATTCATCAAGTTCGACCAGTAATCGGATGAATGAGACGCTATGAAGTGGGAACGACAATTTTGTTAATTCCAAATGTCGAATAATTAAAGACAAATTTAGAAATCAACGATGATGTATATCGAATGACTCGTTTACTCCAAGATAACTCTTTTCTGAAACCACTTTAATTCTGATTTGAAAAGGAATTATTGATTGCCTTATGGTGTCTGCTACTGATGTTGACAGATATAAGTAGTATATATCACCAGTCGAAAGTAAAATGCCTGTGACAGAAGATTAATGAGTTTAAAGAAATGAGAACGAGGACAGACAATGATTGGTGTGGAAACAAAGAAACAACCAAGTCTGAGACGATTGATTGGCATTTTTCAAACGAACACTTTACCGCATGGTTGCTGGATTTTAAAAAAAGATTTTGTAATCTTGTGTTCAAGTACATTCTTGTTCACTACAATAGTAGCAAGCGATAAAATGAGGGAGAAAATTTTTGAATCATCTAGACCCATTGTGATTCCAACTTCATTGAATCACTATAATAAATATACAATCGGACACAATATTTAGTCTTTGAGAAATCATTTTCTCAGTCTCAAAACATTTTTAAATTTAACTATTTTTGTATTGAATTTAATTGGTATTGCTTGTTTGTATCTTCCCGTTCTAGTTTACGATTGCAATTGATCAGTCTCTTATTAGCATATATGCATCCTGTGCGGACTGCCTCGATAATGCCTTAAGTCATATGCATTATAAGTAAAGATAGATGGTGGCTATCAGTGGAATCCTTGGCATGCATTTCGTCCTATTTGGGTCTCGTCAGCTGCACGTACCAGGGATCTAGGTACATCCATCTGACATGTCACATATGAGACGCACATACAGTAAATACATTATTCGTAAAATATTAATCGATTTTCTCAAACTTGACTATTCCTTTTGCAAATATCAGTCAATCGGCTCAGACTTCAATATTCCTGCATTTCCATACGAATAACATTCTGCTTTCGTTCTTCCCTTCTCGATCTTCTCAATTTTCTGCTGTCAGACATTCTATTCCTGACTCGCGGTATATACTACTCATGTCGATATAAGCAGCACACAGCACATTACTTGATAACTGATAGGCACAATACAGTTCAATGGTAATCCTCGTTAATATCGAAATTCATCGTAAGTATTACCTGAAATAATTTATTAATAGATGTGTCCAACTCATTAACATGAAAATATCAATGGTCTTACCATCACTTTGTTTTATAAGTAAACGTAGTTTTGTATTTCGTACAGTGAGATTCCTCAATATTAAAGTCAACATAGTTCTACTGTATGGAGCTGAAACATGGTAAGACTACTACAATCATCATCGAAAACATAAAGTATTCAAAACAATTGTCTACTCGTGATACTCAATATCCGTTGGCCGGATAATTTCACTAACAGCCTACTATGGGATAGAACAAACCAATTTCTATTTGAAGAGGAAATTACGAAAGACTTGGAAGTGGATTCGATACACTTTGAGGAACTCAACAAACTCATCATGAGGGAGGCACAAACTTGAAATTCCTGATGCGAAAGGAGAAGTGGAAGGCCGAATAGTATACTATGTCCAGAATTCGAAGCAGACATGAAAAGGATGAATAACAACTGGAAATGATTGCTTAGGAAAGAGTTGGATGGAGAATGTTGGTGGGCGACTTATGCTTATCCACGAACTGCAACAGTAAGTAGGTATTACGGTTTTGCTTACTTCTTCATAAAGCAATAAATAAATGTGGTACCGTTTCTAATTAGTCGCTCAAGTTTAAGAGTTGTTATTTTAAATCCGATTCGTGGTTTAGTCAAGTGAATCGTTTTATGAATTTGAATTACTTCTGAGCCTGGTTACATTTGTCGATGGATTTGAAGAAGAAAGAAATAAGAAATACACTCTAATGAATATTTATTTAACCAAACACAATATATTCAACATAATGTGACAAGGATTTCCTTTCACAAAACAAATACCACACAAACTACGATTACTCTAGATCATCGATATCACATTTTAGATTTAAATAAAATTCTGGCATATTTTCTATGGATCTAAATTGATTGAATGCAGAATTCGATGAAACTATGAACATAAACAAAACAGTAAACAATAAATGGGATGTTGTGCTTTCAGAAATAGACCATGTTTTCACTGTTGAATTCACAAGTCGAACTAAGCTAGACAAACAGCGAAAACCTGGAGCATTGGATGGTCGTTTCGCCCTAGTGAATGACTCCTCAGAAGTGCGGATCCGCGATCCCGCATGCGAGGACTCGAAGCCAGGTCCTTTGGTTTCGCGGGCTAACTCACAAACTCTAGATCACTGAGTCGGCATCCAATTGTGTTAACGTCTAACCTAAACCAATACACGGTATTTCACAACCCTTCACCCATGTTTGAGGTGGACAAATGTCTCACATGCGACACAGATTCGACTTCACTTCGATCGGTTCGTGAATTCAATGTTGAAAATACTATAACTTACACAAATTATTATACTGATAAAAACTAGTTTTGTAAAATTACGAATCAAAGCACAATTCAAGAACTATTTAACAACTAATATGGAGTGGATAATCATTTGTGGTATTTCAGTAGAATACAACAAATGACTGAAGCCAAGTTATTAAGTCGCATAATGATTGAAAAGATTTGATTAAATTTTGCAAATAGGTCAACGGACTCTAGTGGTTGTTATTAAATGTTGCCCTAAGACGAAACACTAGGGATCAAGGTATCTTATTAGAACTGTAGTCGCTGTCATGGATCCAATTACTAGCGGATATATGAGATCTAAATATCATGGGTTCAGTCTTATATTTACTGAAGTGTTCAATGATTTTAATAGATGTTAAACTATAATAAAACCCGTATCCACTATATCTTGATTCAAAATGATCAATTTCTGCTACATATACTCTTATGAAATTGGTTATTGCATAAAATCTATACCAACTATGGTGCAAACAGAAAGCGTGTGAAAGATCTTTACAGACAGTCTAAACATTTCAACGAAATACTGTTGACAAACAGTAACTAGTTGAATTCAAACATTTCAGATGATGATAGCACAATATTGCAAATCAATAGAGATAAGATCAACAAAAGTTCACTTCAATGTTGACTGGCAACATACTTATCAAGGACATAAACGGTTGTATATCCAGTTATGCATTAAATTGATAAATGAGTCTACCTAAAGAGAATCGAAAAAAACAATATTGCTCTCCTGTGTCTCCATCGATTACAAACAATTCAACTGCTTCTGTCAGCCCATAATAATTAATTTCTGTTCCTATTCTATTCGATTCGATGTTTCCAGTTTTCTTCTGCTATGCCTTTCATTAGTGTTTGTTGTTATATACTACTTATATTCGTAGACACAAGTAACTAAAATCACAATGTGATTTGAAAATATCATTTTATCGAGACTGGAAGCTCCATTACTATTACTCTAACACTGTCAAATATGGCTTGTGAAATGCAAGATTTGAGTAGATCTTGAGCAATTCATAATAGGTAAGAATTAATTTATAGGAAGGGTACTAAGTACAAATGGCAAGTCGATAGGTATGGCATCAAATCTTCATTGATTGTGAAAGTTCAGGAATGTATTAGTTATACCAAAGAGTAGCCCACAGAAAAATGAAAAACTGGTTACTTTAGGAGAAGGTGAGCTCAACGATAGGGTTGAGAAGACCTTAACGCAATTACTGCATTTTAAATCAGTGAATCGTGATGTTAATCATATTGGCGGGTGCAAACCTATTGATTAGAATTCATACAATAGTTGTAATGCAGGTGATATAATCGGTAATTTATTAAATAAAAGTATGAAAAATGGCTAAGGTTATGAACTGAATTAAGATCTAGGATTAGGAGTTGGAAAGAACAAGAATTGTAACCACCTCAATGAACACTTAACCAGTTAGTTCTTTGATTCTAACTACCATGAGCCTTATCATTACAGTAAAGCAATTCGGAAATCGTATTCCCTATTACTTAGTCTTTTTGTTTGCCAGTAATCAGTATTTGAGTCCCCATTTGGCCCTTAATATAACTAGTAGTAAAATCCAGGATGTGTTTGCTTCATTTTCGGCACTTGTCGGCTGGATGCACTTCATTTCCAATGTTGATGTTAATCTTGAAACTCGAATCTAATACAAATCACTTCAAAGTCCAACAAATTTTATATCATTTACTGAGTCCGTGTTGGGATACTCAGAAAAATATCCCAAAAACAATTATCCGGTTAAGTCTAACGCTACCCTTGAACGTTAAATGGTGTCATTTCCCTATTGGTCGTTTCCCTACTGATCAATATTTATTTCGCGTGTCATTTTCCTATTGGTCAATATTATTTAACGTGTCATCTTTCTGTTGGTCAATATTTATAGTAATCCTAACTGTATAAATATGCATTTGTTTGTAAATCATTATTCTGCTGCTCCTGACCCCATAAACGATTTTACATCTACGGTTCGTGTTCTGATATATTGGAGATTGGGAACAGTATTGGGGTCGAACTCGGATATCTGAAGCTTGTCAATCGGTAGAATTTAGAGTAGCCAACTCGCGATTCACAATAATTTGGCGACGGAGATTTAGCAACAAGTTGGTGATTAACTATGGATCCAGCCAAATTAGAAAAATTGTTCGAACAGCAGCTGAAGCTGATGGAGATGATTACTCAGACGCACATATCTTCTCGAGTCCCAACTACACCGACAATTCCTGAATCAGTTGATGGTATTACCAGTGGTATTTCAGAATTTCTTTATGATCCTGATGCCAACATTACATTTGATACCTGGTTCAGACGTTATGAAGACCTTTTCAAAGTTGACTTTGCTGACAGAGATGATTCGTGGAAGGTGCGTCTTCTTCTTCGTAAACTTGGTCCATCCGAGCTGGATAAGTATTGCAACTTCATTCTACCGCAGAACCCACGCGACCGTTCATTCGACGCCACTATTCAGTCCCTTAGCCAACTTTTTGGTGATCATCACTCACTCTTCAGTACCCGATATCGCTGCTTAAAACTGGTCATGAATGAGTCCGATGACTTCCTGACCCACGTCGGCGTTGTTAACCGTGAGTGCGAACGGTTCAAGCTCAGATCCCTCACTGAAGACCAATTCAAGTCCCTAATACTCATATGCAGTCTTCAGTCACCCAAATTCTCCGACATCAGAACTCGGTTGCTTAACCGCCTTGAACAAGATCCAACACTGACACTTAATGCGATCATAGACGAATACCAGCGTATCATCAATCTGCAGCGTGACACCACTTTGGTCCAATCTGGGGGCCAGGGTGGTTCCGAAGTTCATGCTGTTCAGCACCAGAAAAAATCTTCGAGATCGACAAACTCGAGTCCTTCGAACGCCAGCGCTGTTTCTATCTCTAATCACTCTAAACCGGCTCAGAAGAAGCCCCCCTCGCCATGTTGGCACTGTGGAGCCTGGCATTATGTGAAGTTCTGTCCATTCAAACAGCATGTGTGCGATCGCTGTCAGAAAGTTGGTCACAAAAGCGGCTTTTGCAAATCCAACCGATACAATAACCGTCGAAATGCACAGACGCAGCGTCGTTTTCACAAAAAGCCGATTACCTCATCAAGGAGTTTAGCAGCAGTATTCCATACTCATGCCGCGACTCGACGCAAATTTCTGACCCTCTCAATCAATGGTCAGCCAGTTCGTTTGCAGTTGGACACTGCATCAGATATCACCATTCTGTCGAAAAAGACTTGGCGAACCTTGGGTCAACCTCCCATCAAACCATCCTCTCAGACAGCCGTCAGTGCCTGTGGGGGTCATCTCCGCCTTCATGGTGAACTCTATTGCTGCATTTCATTCAGAGGTACAACCTTCAATGGGACATGCTACATCACCAATTCCCGCTCAACCTTTTAGGTTTAGATTGGTTCGAAGAACTTGGTCTCGCTGATCTTCCTATTAGCGCTATCTGCAATCAAGTCCAAACTACTGCTTCTACACAACAGCATGCTGAAGACCTTCGAAAACGATTTATTGAACTATTTAAGCCTGGTCTCGGACTTTGTACCACAACTGAAGCTGTTTTAAAACTGCAGTCAGAAGCTACGCCAGTTTTTCGCCCAAAGCGTCCAGTCCCATACGCATCTTTACCTCTGGTTGACGCTGAACTTCAACGTTTGGAAACTGAGGGTGTCCTAGTACCTGTTTCTTATTCATCATGGGCTGCTCCAATTGTGGTTGTAAAAAAATCCAATGGTTCCATACGCATCTGTGCAGACTTTTCCACAGGACTCAACGCGGCTCTACAACAGCATCACTATCCGCTGCCGATCCCAGATGACTTATTTACTATTTTAAATGGTGGTACCTATTTTGCTAAGCTGGATCTGGCAGATGCTTACCTTCAAATTCCAGTCGCTCTCGAATCCAGAGAGTTGTTGACAATCAACACTCACCGAGGACTTTTTCAGTATACCCGGTTACCCTTTGGTATCAAAACTGCTCCAGCGATCTTCCAGCAGATCATGGACACTATTCTGGCAGATGTTCCTGGTGTTGCTACATACCTTGACGATGTGCTCATTGTCGGCTCAACTGCTGATGAATTGCATACCAGAACCCACTTAGTTCTGCAACGCCTCCAGGATAATGGTTTTCGCCTGCGCCCAGAAAAATGCCAATTCTTCTTACGTTTCGTTAAGTACCTGGGGTTTATCTTTGATGCTTCCGGACGACACCCTGATCCTCAAAATACTTACGCAATCCAACAAATGCCTGCTCCCACTGATGTCTCCTCACTGCGATCATTTTTGGGAATGATTAGCTACTATTCAGCATTTCTTCCATCACTGCATGACGTACGATATCCATTAAATCGTCTGCTAGAAAAGAATGCTACTTGGAATTGGTCAACGCAATGTGAGTCAGCCTTTTCAAAACTTAAAGCCATGCTAAGTTCCAATCTTCTGCTAACCCACTACAATCCGAAACTACCCATTGTGGTTGCTGCTGACGCTTCAACACATGGACTGGGTGCCGTACTCTCACATGTCTTTCCCGACGGGTCAGAAAAAGCGGTGA